TCCTTCAGCCGGTCACTTAATCAGAATGATCAGTCGAGATCCGTCTGGGCGCGCCTTCCTCCTAGCGGCCCCGCGGTCCCCTCTGCAGGTGGCAAGCCAGCTGCCCTGGCGAGAGCCAAGTGGGCTCCCCCAGAGTCGGCCTGAGCAAACGGTTTGTCCACAGCAGGAAAACAAATGGGGTGAGGGCCCGCCACTCCCGAGTGTCAACAGCCGAAGCCTCAGGCTGTCACACAGCCTGGAGCGGGGCCCAGCTGTGTCTTCGCTGGCAGCGTGGCCTCCAGCAGCTCTCAGCCTCAGCGTGAGTTAGTGACATGGGGATGGAAACACTCCCTCACAGGCTCCTGTGGGGACTCTGTGGGGACGAGGCACAGGGTCTCGCGTCCATTTACTCATCGCAGCCTCACAGGCCTGGCCCACAGTGGGCACTCAGCCATCTGCCATCCGTTTCCGGAGGCATACCTGTGATGGGGCCCAATCAGGATGCTAGAGCTAGGGGTGCACTGGAACACCCTTCTCGGAAAACAAGAGAAACGTCATTTATGGGCCCAGACCCAGCTGGCCATCATCGCCATGTACCATGACCCCCCCACCACCACCCAAAGACGGGGACACCCAGAGCAGCAGCAGCCAGCCAAGGGCTGAGGACAGCAAGGTTGCAGGCAGCAGGGTCTGAGTGAGGAGGAAGCCCAGCCCACACAAAGGGCGCACGCCGTCCCATGGGAGGAAGAAGCCGCAATCCCACCAGCAAGCCATGTTGTCATGGAGAAGCGAAACGTGGAAGAGAAGCTGGGACTTCCTCCCAGTCTGCCTGGACCACACATGGGACCACACGTGGGACCACGAGGCACATGAGCAAGCCAGCTCATAAAAACATGGAGGCTTTGGGAACTGAGTCCCCAAAGCTGCCCCACTTGGGGAAATGGCCCAGCAGCTGGGCTCTCTGGGCCCTCAGCAGGAACAAGGCCATTACCTCCTACCGTCCGAAAGGCCTCATGGGGCAGGAGCAGAGGAAGGGAGGGGCTCCCTCTGCGGAGGCGCCGCCATGCCAGGCCTTCCGCTGTGTCTCTGCACAGCTCATCTCAACAACCCCACCCGCCAGGCCCTGCCCCCTTCACAGATGGGGAGACAGAGGTGAAGGAGCCTCGCCGAGGACCCGGCTACGTCTGCACCCCACCCACGCTCCCGCTCCAAGTGTGCCTTCAGCACTGGGAGCTGTGTCCCAGACGGGCAGGACACACACCGGCAGAGCCGACCGTGGCACAGGAAGGCCAGGGTCCTGGGGCTCCTGGGAGAGGATCGGCCCCTCTACCTCAGAGGCTGGAACAGCCAGGCTGGGGGGCACTGCCCAAGGGCAGGGGCTCACCGTGCAGGAAACCAGCACGCTTAGACCTGAGCAGCTGGCCGGGGACCCTGGGAAGGCTGGCTGACTTGGTTCGCAGGACGGCCGACTCATGAAGCGGCGACACTCGGGCCCTGGTGGAGTCGGCTGGCGTTCCCTGAGGCCGCCTCAGCCTAAGGCACCAGAGACATTTTGTTAGGAAGATTACAGATGCAACGAGAACATCAAAAATAATTAATCTGTGAGCGGATTTTATTTAAGTGTTGATTCATGGTTGCGCTACAAGCCAACGGCCCATCAGAACTATAAATTAACAAGATAAAATGTTGCTGGCCCTCCATATTTCAGGCCGGGTATTGACATTCTAGAATCCGCGGGTTTCTAACTGCATTGATTGAGGACACCAGGACAAATGGTCTTGGCGCCCAAGTCCCATTAAGGACAATGGCCACCGAGTGACTCATTCCCGAAGCACCGCAGTGAGAACACCCTGCCTCGCCTTCTCCTGGAAGGGAGCTCTAATCAGATTGAAACAAAAAAGCCAAATCACCGAGGGTGGCAAGAGGCAGAGCCAGTGAAGAGGGAGATTGGACTCAGCGGTGAGAAAGGATGAGCCATCGAACCAGGCCGCCGACAGCCATAGGGCTGCACACATCTACCCGGCCTCTGCCAAAGACGCAGCAGCACGGCCTCGTCAGGGGACGGGTGCAGACCGGGTGGAGCAGCACTGCCACCCCAGTGGCCCCTGAGGGGTTGGACTGCCCAGCAAGGGCCAGCCTCAGCTCTGTCTCATCTACCGCCCCGGCCAGATGATGGACACACGGACCACCAGGACAGACCCCCGCCTCTAGGAGCGCCCACAGTAGCCAGGGAGACAGACACGGAAACCAACAACCCCTTCAGCAGGAGAGGCTCCATCTAGGGACTGAAGGGCTTCCCCAAGGGTGAGATCCCAACCCCTCATCCCTACCGCCCCAAGGACAAAGGACACCCAACATGCTCACCACTGTACCCCAGCACCAGGCCCTGCATACAGCAGGTGCTCAATACGTGCTGAATGAAAGAAAGTGGGTCTTCAACAGGTGAACCCGTGGTGCATGCCATTGTCAGCAAAGGGGGTGCATGGAAAAGTCCCCATCATCTCCCAGACTGTACGGCAAAGCTCTGAAGGCAGGGCCATGTCCTCCCTCTGCCTCCCACCGGGCACACCACAGCTGGAGGGGCACACGGGGCGGGGCCAACAGCTCCCCTCCAGCCACAGCTCTACCAACAAGGGCCCGGCAGCTGCCCCCCTCCTGCAGCGCTCCTTCGGCCGCAGGCACACCCAACCAGCTGCCACTGCCAGGGACCTGCCCAGAGTGCTCTAGCCTAGCCGTGGCCCCCTACTGCCACCTGCTGTGGCAGTCCCCAACTTGTCAGGCAGGAGGACTCTGAAAGTCTAAAAATGTCAAAACTGCCCCCCACACACACAAGAGCAGTGTCTGTTTAACATCCATCGATTAAGAAGATCGAGCATGACAAGGGGCCACTAGGAATCCATTAACGTTATCAAATGAACTTATATTTGATTAGCCCACAGCATCACCAGCATATGAAAAGCATCACTTCACTCCGCAGGCGGTGGTGGCACCCGTGGGTACTCAGCGACCCAGCAGCGGGGAGCAGTGCCTGAGGAATATGCGTCCCACAGGCCTGGAACTTCATGAACCTCAGGCTCCTATTCCTGCACCCCAGACTCAGCTCCCCCAGCTCCCTGGAACCCCACACTTCCACACACACCACACCGTTCGTGCTCCTGTGACAACTCTGTCCTCATTCCATCTGCTGAGAACTCACTTCCCTTCCTGCTCAACCACGCCCCCGAATCCCGATTCTCTGCCCCCCTAATTCCTGCTTCAGCTCGAGTTCCTCCAGGAAGTTTTCCTTGATCTTCCAGGCTAGATGTTCCGGTAGCTCCTGTCTCTCTGCGTCACGTAACCTGGGATTCTCTCTGCACTTGTGTGTCTCCCAGCAGCCACGAGCTTCTCCAGGGCAAGTGCTGGGCCTTGTCCACCCGTGTCTCCGATACTGAGCAGGGCTCACTGAACACACAGCAACAGAGCGCCAGGTCAGGCAGCAGGTTCCAGAGCCGGGAAGACCTGCACGCACCCGGTCCGTGCCTCTGGGCCAGTGTGTGAAAGAAGGTTCCGGTGGCACCAGCCTCTACGGGTGAGTGGGGCCAAACGAGACCCACGTGGAAGTCTGTGGAAGAAGGCCGAGCCCACAGTGGGTGCCCGGGCCAGCGCCCGCTGCTGTCACTGCTGTCATCACTGACCCAGTCGTCATCAAGTGACACCAAACCCACTCTGGCCGAGTCCTGACCCCTCGTCAGCCCTGTGGGACTCCCAGTAAGACCACAGACAGCCAGGTCAGGGAGACACTCATCGAGAACACCATCCCCTTGGCATCGAGGAAAGGGCACGGATTCTGCAGTTGCACAGACACGGCTCAAGTTCCCGTGTGACATGCACCACCCGGAGGCTCTGGGCAAGCTCCTCTCCTCTTTGGCCTCAGTCACCTCCCCTGTAAAATGGGGGAAATAATCACAGCAGCAGGCCCAGGTAAGGAGTGACATGTCATGTGCACAGCCTGTGGCACAGGACCAGCCACTGACACAATCGCCAGCCATGTCACCACCCTCACTGAGCAGGCATGGGACTCGGGCAGCGGAGCTGCATGGCTACCCCTCCGCAGCCCAGGGGACAGGGACACTCGAGGTGGGAGACCAACCTCACAGCTACCCCAGCCACCACTGCCTGACCTCTCTGCGCCTCCTCCAAGCTGCTGGGAGGAGCTGGGTGGTCTGACCCCAGGGTCACCACCTCTGCTTGCTGGGCCCCAGGAGAGGTGCAGACCCCAGCACCACCACTGCTGGGCCAGGAGGACGGGGACTGCCCGCAGGCTCACGGGACCCTCCAGGGCCTCTCCTCCTGACTCTGACAGTGGTTCCCAGCAGAAGACTGACGCAGGAGGAGCCCAGGGAGGGGAAGGCAGCACCCTGAGAGTCAGGGCAGAGGTCTGAGCCCAGTTCCACACCCCCTGGGTGCGGCACGGTTAGGTGCTAAGGGTGCCCACCAGCAGAGCTCAGGAACCAAGGCGCCCGCTGACGTCTGTCTCCTCACCCTGTTGGCCCAGCCCCCTTCGCACTGGCCCAGGCCCGTTCGGATTGGCCCAGGCCCGTTGGAACTGGCCCAGCAGGATTCACCACGCCCAGACTCCAGGGCCCTTTCAGTGTGGGCGCTGAAGCAGGACCCCGTGAGCCGAACTCGCTGCTCACAGCCTTTCGCGGTGACGAGCTGACAGGAACGCCAAACTGATTCCGACCAGAGGACACTGTGATGAAGCTGAGTCCATTTCAGCACAAATTACATGTCAGAAGTTGATTAAAATGCCACCTCTTTATCCGGTCCACAGCCTGGGGCTGAGACAACCCTGGGGCTCTGTGTCCTGGGCAGGCAGCACGAGCCCAGCCCAAACCCTCTGTGGAGAGCCTCGGTTCCAGCCCTAGGGCCCATCTCCCACGGCCCCAACACTGGCTACAGACCCGCCGGGAACTTCCCAAGAGGGAAGCTGACTTCGTTACAGACGGGGTGCCTCGGGGTCACAACACAGAGAAACACACCTGTTTCGAGGTCTGTGAGGTGCAGGGCACAGTCGAAGCCGCCGCTGAGGATGCGCTGGCCGCAGGGAGACCACCGGGCGGCCCGCACCGCCTCACTGTGCAGGGAGTAGGTCTGCAGGCAGCTCCCCGAATCCACGGCATTCCACACCTAAGGGGCAAGCACAGCACCAGAAGTCAGGGTCAGACCTTGGCGGGGGGGGGGGGGGGGGGGGCTGGTCTCTGGCTCAGCTCAGGTTCAGGTCCTGCACAGGGACAAGGGTCTTACAGTGGGACTCGAGTCCCTTCATGCTCCATCAAACAAGAACTAGAAGCTAAACTTTTCCTCATACAAATGTAAAGTCTTGGGGCTGGTGAGTTGAGGGGAAGCATTCCCCAAAAACTTTTCAGGGGTTCAAGAAGCCCACAAGAAAACAGCACGTCCCACGTTCTGCCGCTCAGCGGCCCACATTCCCAGTTCCGCCCAGTCTCGCCTGCATCTCTGACATCTGTCCTCCGAGACGGGACTTCTCGCCCCGTTGGGGACTATCTTCACAGGTCCCACTACAAAACTAAGAGCCAAATAGGAGCCTGTCACACCTGTGCTCACAACTGGGCAAAGGCAAACGTCTGCCTGAGGGGAGGGAAGGTACTGTCCCTCGTTCCCACCTGGGCTTTCCAAGGGGAAATGAGGCTCGTGGCAAAAAGCAAACCCCACCCCCCCCGCCATACACTTACTGGCCTCTGAAATAGGTTGTTAAGCCCGCAAGTACAGAACTGTGCGATCCAAGAGCCAAGGCCACTCGGCGCATGGGGGCCTGGGTCCAGCTGTCACAGGCGCTCCCAGGAAACCCACGCGCCACCCGGGGCCTGGCCTCACCTGCCACCCGCTGGCTCAGAGGCTGGAACACAGGAAGCAGCAAGAGCACCAGCAGCAGCAGGTGGACTTCAGGGCCCAGTGTCTCGCGCTGCCGGCCTCGGCCTCCTCCTCTACAAAGTGGGAAAAGAAGAGCCCCTGCCCAAGGGCAGTGGGGAGCAAGGGGTAGAGAGTGGGGTCGTGGTGCTGGTGGGCACGCTCCTTGGGGCTGGCAGGCACGCAGTCTTACCAGCAGAATTCCTAGACACTCTCTCAGCTGCATCCGAGAAGCCACAGGCACCCACGAACCTGATCCTAGAGAGAACCTTCCTTTTTCACAGTGAGAGCCCAGCCTGTGTGGCTCAGTGGTTGAGCGCTGACCCATGCACTAAGAGGTCACCAGTTCGATTCCCAGTCAGGGCACATGCCCAGGTTGTGGGCCAAATCCCCAGTGGGGGGCATGCAGGAGGCAGCCAATCAATGTTCTCTCTCATCAATGTTTCTATCTCTCTCTCCCTCTCATTTCCTCTCTCTCTAAAATCAATAAAGGAAAAAATATATATATATATTTTTTAAATCCTCACCCAAGGACATTTTTGCATTTATCTTCAGATAGAGTAGGAGGGAGAGAGGGAAGAAGAGAGAGAGAGAGAGAAAAACATCGGTGTGAAAGGGACACATCGAGTGGCTGCCACCCACACGACCCCAACTGGGGCCGGGGACAAAGGTACATGCCCTTAGCGGGAACCGATCCCCGGGCCTCTCTGGTCCATGGGCCGATGCTCTAACTGCTGAGCCAAACCGGCCAGAGCAATAAAGGAAAAATATTTTTTTAAAAAGAAGAAGAAAGAAAAGAAAATTCATCCTGAAGCTTGTTGAAATGCAAAGGAGCAGAGTTCTGAAAGCACGTTTACTGGGCATGTGAGCGCCTGGGCTGAAGAGAACCAGAGGCCAGGAGAGGCCTTCCAGGAATGTCCAGAGAGCTGAGTTCCCTTCTTCCTTCTTAGGGGCCCGGGGCTGGGGCTGAAAACTGAACAGCCAAAAACAGCAGCATTTACATTTAGAAATAACAGAAGAAACAGCCAGAGCCTTCAAAGTGGAGTGGGATTCATGGCAAAAGGGCAGAGTGCAGGGGACTGCTGTTTGGTTTGGTTTTTTTCAAAGCTATGCACAAGTCTGACTTTAACAGAAAAAAAAATAATAATAAAGTAAAATTAATGAACTAAGATCAATCGGGTTAACATGGCTAAACAGTAAAAAAAAATACTGAGTACATAGGTCAGGCTGCTTATATATAGTATGATGCCATCGAAGTTTTAAAAACACACAAAACGCCACCTCACACCCACTGGGATGGAGTCTGTCGGGAACACCAGCGCTGGCGAGCACGGGAAGCTCCTGGAACCCTGCGCACTGCTGGGGGTGCAGAAGGGTCCAGCCACTATGGAAAACAGCATGCAGTACCTCAAAAACTAAACACAGGATGACCACAGGACCCCACAATCCCACTGTGTGCCCAGAGAAACCGACACGAGGGTCTCAAAGGGATACGTGCACACCAGTGTTCAGCCACTTGACTCCCGGCAGCCAAAGGCGGACGTGGCCATGTGTCTGTCGACAGACGGAGGGACAAGAGGTGGTCCATCCATACAGAGGTTCTCTCACAGGCTACAGCATGGGTGGGCCTTGAGGACACTATGCTGAGTGACACCGGCCAGTCACAGAAGACAAACGGCGTATGACCCCACTCTCCGGGTTCCGAGCAGGGACAATCACAGAGCTGGAGGGAAGCGCAGAGGCTGCCGGCGCCTGGGAGGGGCGGGGGAGTGCTGCTGAACGGGGACAGCTTCAGTTCCTCGAGATGAAAGGCCCCTGGAGATGGATGATGGCAATGACCGCAGGGTAATGTGAACGTACTTAACACCACTGAACCACACACTTAAACGTGGTGAAGGTGCTAGGTTTTATGTTCTGTGTCTTTCAACACAATTTAAAAAATACACATGAAGCAAAACTCGATCGTGTTTATTTATGCATTCGCAGTGAGACTACAAAATATGCACGGGTGGGTGGTCCTCCTGGGAATGCAGGGAGAGGGGCAGGGCAGAGGGACCGGAGGGAGCTACGGAGCTACGAACTCTACTCCCTCTTCCCGCTGAAGAGAGGCAGAGGCGGAGAGCGAGACTACGGATCTGTTCTGAAGCAAATACGCCCAGATGCTGCTATCTGTTCAACTCATTCATGTATGCCCTCGCTCGGCACACACTTCCTGAGTACCTGTTATTAGCCAGGCATTGTTCAGCAGTAAACAACTAAGACAAACCCCCTGCCTTCGAAGAATTTACATTCTAGTGGGGTCGACAGACACTGAACAAAAGGAACCAGCGGAACCCATGTAGTGTCTGAGGCAGTGATAAAGCCTGGCATTCTGACAAGCAAGCGGGAAAAGGAGAAGGTGCTGACTGACGGCTGGGAAGGGCCCCCGGGAGGAGGTGGCTTTGTGGAAGGGAGCTATACGGACACCAGGGGAAGAACCGTCCAGCTGGGAACAGGGCCAGTCTGGCTGCAGTGAGGGAGAAGAATGGGGGTCCAGGGAGACATGAGGAGCTTCTGGGAGAACCAGGGGCAAGGAAGGACAGCCTGGACCAGCTGGAGACAGTGGAGAAGGGGCCTGGCTTGGAAAGGAGAGCCCACAAGACTTCCTTGGCTTGGAGGTGGGTAGGGGGCAAGAGAAAAGTCCAGGCCAAGTCCTCGGGTCCCGCCCTAGCACCCCGAGGAAAGGACGGCCAGGGGTGCGTCCAGTGAGAGGAGCTGCAAGACTGAGGAAGACCAGGGGCTCAGTGCTGATTGACAGAGAGCGGGGCAGCTGGATACATGAGTGTGAGGTCCAGGGCGGAGGCTGAGCTCTGGGGGTCACTGTCACTGACGGTGTTTCAGTCATGAGCTGGAATAAACGTAGACAGCAGAGAGAAGGCCCAGCACTCACGGGTAGGGGCGCGAGCGAGGAGGGTAAGGAGAAACCAGGACAGGAGTTCGAGAAGGAGAGGCCAACGAGGTGGGGGAGAAACCAAGACGGGTATCCTGGAAGCTGGGGAAGAGGCAGGCCAGTTGGGTCCGATGCTGCTGACACGTCGATCAGATAAGAACTGGGACTTGGACCCTGGATTTTACCATCTGAGTGGTGGGTATACAGGTGTCTGTTATGTTACTTTCTATACTTTTGATTATGTTTAAAATATTTCGTTCTTTATAATGTTAATGAAGAGGAAGAGAAGGGCAAAAACGAAGGGAGAGAGGAGGGGTGAAGGAAGGAGAAGAAAGAGTGAGCAGGAAAAGAGGAGAAGAAAACAGCCCTGGCCGGTTTGGCTCAGCAGTTAGAGCGTCGGCCTGCGGTCCAGAGACCCGGGTTTGGTTCCCGCTAAGGGCACGTACCTCGGTTGCCGTTTGTCCCCGGCCCTGGTTGGTCGTGTGGGTGGCAGCCACTCGATGTGTCCCTTCCACGTCGATGTTTCTCTCCCTCCCACTCTATCTGAACAAAAAATGGAAAAATGTCCTCGAGTGAGGATTAAAAAAATTTTTTAAAAAAGAAAAGAAAGCAGGGGGGATGGGGAGGAAAGAGGAGAGGAAAATGGGCGGGGGGGGGGGGGAGAGGATGGATCGTGGTCAGAATCAAAGAAAGAAGTGAGAAGAGACCTCTGAGGCATCAGGACCGAAAGCAGCAAACCGGGAAGTTTGAGGTCCTGGCCAGGGCGCCTCCCGAATCCCGGATGGAAACATGTTTAAAAAAAATTCGTCAATCTGTCAGTTGTCCTGATGACTCCCCTCGGAAGTGAAAAACACACACTTGGCTCTCCTGGCTGATATACACACAACAATAGTGTCGGAATCGATGCAGATCAGTCAGCCACCCCTCCAAGCTACCCAGGGTGGAGGGGAGAAGCAGCCTTGCTAATCGTTCTCCCTAATTGAATTTAATGTTTACTGTCAGGTTTTAAAGATTAATTCCCAAACACCACAGCAGCCTGCAGTGTGCACCTTTTTCCAATTAGGTAATTAAAGACCCCAACCTGCCTTCGTGGAATTAAGGAGTCAGGTCTTCTGTCAGATGTTCTAAGATGACTTGACGTATTAACTAGACACATTCTGTGTCCAACAGAAGTCAGATTTGGAAAGAACGTGACAAGTAAAACGCAGTGCTTCTCGTCCAACGTTTCCTGCGGTCTCCAGGTCCTGGTTACTAAGGCATGGTCCCACCAGTTCTCAACGTCTCTTAAGACCTATTTTTAGCCCCAGGTTTAGCCACAGGTCACATTCTTCCTGCCTACCTGCCTTTTGTTTTTTATTATTAAAACAAATGCAATCTCCTTATACAATATTCAAATTATACAGAAGTGCAAACACCAAAATGCCATAAAAATCAACTATGGCCCTGGCCAGTTTGGCTCAGCGGTGAGAACGTCAGCCCGAGGTTCGGTTCCCGCTAAGGGCACTTACCTCAGTTGCAGTTTGTCCCGGGCCCCGGTTGGGGTCGCGTGGGTGGCAGCCACTCGATGTGTCTCTCTCACATCGATGTTTCTCTCTTTCTTGCCCTCCCCCTCTATCTGAGGATGAATGCAAAAAAATATCCTCAGGTGAGGATTAAAAAAATAAATAAATAAAACATTTTTTTTTTAAAAAAGAATCGACTACAGGATTGCTGTGAACAACATTGGAAATAGGTCTGCTCTGGGGGGGGGGGGAAGTCAAAAAAATAAAAACATAAAGAAGTAAATAAGATTCACTGATAATACCACCACCTGGAGATAATGGCTGTCAGCCTTCTGGGTGAATCCCTACCTCCCATTTGACCCTGCCGACCCTGCCTTGGGGACCCTCACAGTCAGCCCTGGCTCTTGGTCTCCCTTCCATCTCTCGACCCGTTGCCCCAGGATATCATTCCAGAGACCACTGCCAGACTCACACAGCTCAGCACAAGCCTGTGCAGACAGGGCCCAAGCCCTCCCAGGCCATTTGTCTGCAAAAGATTTGGAAACTTTGGGGGGCGGGGAGGCTCAAGGGCTGAAATTGCACTGCATCTACACACCAATCTGGGTAGACATCTTAACAATATTGACTCTTCTGATGCCTGAACAGGATATATCTCTTCTTTTACTTAGGTATTCTTTAATTTCTCTAAGCAGTGTTTGCTTGGTTTTTTAATTTTTTTTTCCTTCATTGATTTTAGAGAGAGAGGAAGGGAGAGGGAGAGAGAGATGAAAACATCGATGGAGAGAACATAGATTGGCCACCTCCTGTATGCCCACCACTGGGGATCGGGCCCAACAACCTGGGCATGTGTCCTGACCAGGAATCGAACCAGCCACCTCTTCGTGCATGGGTTGGCTCAGCCGCTGAGCCACACCGGCTGGATCGTTTGCTGTGTCTTAATGAAAAAGTCTTACACACCTTTTTGTCAAATTATCCCTAATTTAATATCTGGATAATATTGTAAATGGTATTTTTAATTTTAGTTTCTTCATTTCTAGTATGTAGAAATACAATTAATTTTTGTATACTGACCTTGAATTCTGAAACCATGCTAAACTTAGTTTAAGATGTTCTGGGTTTTTTTCCCTCTTCCATGTATAGGTTGTAATGTCACAGGGAGGTCATAGTATCTTGCCACCTGTGAGGAGTAAACCTACATTCCTGTTGGATGTGTTATACACAGAGGAGCCATTCTTCAGGCACCCTGCTCTCATCACATCCCAAGAACTTTTGTTTTTTTTGTAGGTTCAGAATTTTCTACATAGACAGTCATACTATCTATGAATAAAGATAGTTTTGCTTCCTCCTTTCCAACGCAGGTACCCTTTGTTTCCTTCTCTTGCCCTATTGCACTGGCTACCATCTCCAGTACAATGCTGAATAACACAGTGAGAGTAGACATCCCTGTCTTGTTCCTGATCTTTCAAATCAGTGATCTCCATTAAGCTTCTCCTTTAAAACATAAGAAAAAGAAGGGTAAACTCAACCCAAAATAAGCAAAAGAAAGGAGATAAAGATAAGAGCAGAAATAATTTTAAAAAAAGGGAGGGGGGGTGATTTGGAGACAGGCAGGCATAAATGGAGAACATCATGTGAACACGTGACAGCCATCCATGAGGGTCTGGAGCAGGTTCTTCCTTCCCTACTGATTGATTGATTGAATGAAAGATACACTTACTCATTCTTACATTAAGTTATAACCAAGTAGGATCCGTCCCAGGAATGCAATGTTTACTTAATATTTGAAAATCAACCAATGCAATTCAGCATATAACGAACTATAAAAGAAGAACCATATACTGTTCTCAAGAGATACAGGAAGAGCTTTTTAAAAAATACGTTTTTATTGAATTTTTTTTTTTCAAAGAGAGAGAAACATTGATGTGAGAAACATTGATTGCCTTCTGCATGTCCCCTACTGGGCATCGAGCCCACAATCTGGGCATGTGCCCTGATTAGGAATCAACCTGGACTTCTCAGTCCATGGGATGATGCTCAGTCCACTGAGCCACACCTCCTGGGCTAGAAAGAGCTTTGATAATATATATATATATATTTTTTTATCCTCACCCGAGGATATTTTTCCATTCTTTGTACAGATAGAGTGGGAGGGAGAGAGAGGAAGGGAGAGAGAGAGAGAAACATCGATGTGAAGGGACACATCGAGTGGCTGCCACCCACACGACCAACCAGGGCCGGGGACAAACTGCAACCGAGGTACGTGCCCTTAGCGGGAACCGAACCCGGGTCTCTCTGTACCGCAGGCCGAGGCTCCAACCGCTGAGCCAAACCGGCCAGGGCCGTTCCATGACTTGTTATATGCAGTAGTCCCATTTGCATTCCATTAAAAATGTTTTCTAATATCCCTATCCATTTCTTCCTTGATCCATGGGTTATTCAGGAATGTATTGTTTAGTCTGCAAATATTGGGGAATTTTCTAGATATCTGTTATCGATGTTTAACTTAATCCTATCATCATTAAAGAATATGCTTTGAGTTCAAGACTTTAAGTTTACGGAGACTTGTTTTATGGCCTAAAACATGGTACCCTTTAAAAGAAGGGGTATTTTGCTGTTGTTACATGGAGTGTTCTATAAATGTCAATTAGTCCAAGCTGGATAATAGTGTTGTTCAAGCCTTCTATATCTTCACTGACTTTCTGTCTACTTGATCTATTGATTATTGAGAAAGGGGTGTTAAAACCTCCAAACTATAATTGTGAATTTCATTATTTCTCCATTCAGTTCTACCAGTTTTGCTTCATATAGTTTAAAACTCTTTTATTGGGTGTTTAAATATTTATGCACCTAATGTTTATGTACGTAATGTTATTCCCCTTGATAAACTGACCCTTTTATCATTACAAGATGACTCTCTTTATCCCTGCTAATATTCTCTGCTCTGATATCTACTTTGTCTGATATTAATATGGTCACTTTAGCTTTTTTATTTTTATCCCTCACCTGAGGATATTTTTCTATTTATTATCAGATAGAGTGGGAGGAATGGAGAGAGAGAGAAAAAGAGAAACAAAGTCGTGATAGAGCCATATTGACTGGTTGCCTCCCACACAACCCAACCAGGGCCTGGGATGAACTGCAACTGAGGTACATGCCCTTAACTGGAATGGAACCCAAGACTCATTGGTCCGTGAACCAACGCTCTAACCACAGAGCTAAACCAGCCAGGGCCACTTTAGCTTTTGAAAATTACTATTAGGTTGGTATATTTTTTCCTTCCTTTTACATTTAACCTTTTGTGTCTTTATATTTAAAGTAGGTTTCTTGTAGTCATTATATAATTGGGTCTTGCCTTGTTATCCAACAGAGCACTCTTAGTCTTTTAAATAGGTGTTTAGACCATTTCATCTATTATTAATATGGTTTAGGTTTAAATTTGCTATTTGTTTTCCATTTATCTCATCTGTTCTTTGTTCCCTCTTTCCTAAGTGTATTTTGTTATTTCATTTCATCTCCCATTGTTAGATTACTAATCACAAATTTCTGTTTTTGTTGCTTTAAGCTTTATAGCATACATCTGTAACTTATCCCAATCTACCTTCAAGTAATATTAGCACTTGCATCATAAGAACCATAACAACAATATACACCACTTCCTCCATCTCAGTTTGTATGCCTTGTTATCATACATTCTATATCTACAAATGTTATGAACTCAAGAAAATAGTTATTTTTACTTTCAACAATCAATCATCATTTAAAGTGATTTTTAAGAACAACAACAAATATTTACATTTACCCACATATTTATCATTTCTGGTGATCATCATCCCTCTGTGGAGATGTAGATTTCTATCTGGTATCATTTTCCTTCTGCCTCAGGAACTTTAACATTTCCCATGGTGAGGGTCTGCTGATGAGGAATTACTTCAGCTTTTATATGTCTGAAAAGTATTTTGCTTTTTTTAAAGATATTTTGCTGAGTATTAAATTTTAGGTTGACAGTGGTTTGTTTGTTTTTCAGTACTTTAAGTATGTTGTCCCACTGTCTTCTGGCATTATTTTCAATAAAAAGTCTGCTGTCATTCTTATCTTTGTTTCTTTATATGTAACTTGTCCTTTTTTACCCTTCTGGCTGCTTTTAAGATTTTTGTCTTTATCACTGGTTATAAGAAATGCCATTAGGATGTACCTTGGTGCTTGGGGTTCATTGAGGTTCCTGGATCTGTGGGTTCCTAATTTCCTCAAATTTGGAAAACTTTCAGTCATTATTTCTTTAAATATTTTTTTCTATTCTCACTTCCTTTGAGTGTTCCAATTTCATGTATATTGGGTGAATTCACTCATGCTTTGTTCATTTTCCCCCAAGCTTTTTACTCTATTTCATTTTAGATATTTTCTATAACAATATCTTCAAATTTACTAACCTTTCTTCTATAGTTTCTGATCTTTTATTAATCTCATCCAGTATATTTCTTTTAATTTTTTCTTTATTGATTTTTAGAGAAAGGGAGAAGGAGAGAGAAACATCGATGAGAAAACACCGTCTGGCCACCTCCCATATGCCCCCCACTGGAGACTGGGCCCACAACCTGGGCATGTGTCCTGACTGGGAATCAAATCGGTGCCCTCTTGGTGCATGGGTCAGTGCTCAACCACTGAGCCACACCAGCTGGGCTCTTCTAGTATATTTTTACCTCAGACATTTTTTCATCTTTAGAATTTGATTTCTATCTTTCTTCCTTCTTCCATATCTCTCCTTAACATACTTATGCTTTTCTCTACCTTTTTGCATACGCGGAGCATATTTCTGGGTCTGTTCCTACTGACTGATTTTTCTTCTCATCATGGTTCAGATGCTCCTGCTTCCTTATATGCCTTGTAATCTGTTTGGATGCCAGGCACATTGAATTTTACTTTAATAGACATTTTATATTTTTGTATGCCTATAAATACTCTTGAGATTTGTTCTGGGACACGGTGTAACTACTTGGAAACAATCTGATCCTTGCCAGGGTGGTTCTAAGCTTTGATAAGAGGCAACCAGAGCAACATTAGTTCAGGGCTATTTTACACCCCACTACTGAGCAACACTTGTGGGAATAAACTATTCCTAACCCTGTGGGCTCTAGGGATTGTTCGCCGTGTTCTTTTGAGTGGTTCTTTCCTCACCTCAAGGAGCTTCTTCATCACATAAGTCGATCAGTATCCCACTAAAGTCTTTGAAGGGACTTCTTATAGATCTCTGTGCAGCTCTCCCCACACCCTGCCCTTGGTGGGAATATTTAGAAGAGTGGCAGGATTGGAGTATTTTTCTGTGGGTGTCACAGAGATGACAAGAAGGCCGGGGGTGATCTACAAACTGATGTCATTTTCTGTGGGCATAAACAAGAAGCCAGGAACAGATCTGAGAAGATGAATTCACTTATACTACCCCCACCCCCACCCCTGACAGCTTCAGAAAAACATGTAGAGAGCCTGGGAAGACTGCAGGTTTCTTAGAATACATGGTACAGAAGTTTAAACCAATCTCACTTGAATCTCTAAGGGCAGGGTACCTCGGCTGACATCTTTGTTACAAGAGGCTCACATCTGTAGAAATAATGACATCTAAAGCGGTAGTTTCATTTTACACCATCCTCCTAAGTGCTTCCTGAGGTGTTTTCTATACCAAATGATGCAAGGAGCCGCAAAGTAAAGGTTGAGGAGAAGCTCAATCAGAATCTGTAAGTACATGAGCATTCATTATACAGAGAATTCCAAGAAATTACTCTCTCTATTCAATAAGGTCAGAATAAAAGGAAGGAGTTTCAAATGTCAAGAGAAGATGTAAAAGGGCAAAGAAGAGTTTTCTTAGAGTAAAAGGGATTAAGAACAAGACCCAGCCCGGAGGCTGCCGGAGAACACTCACAGAGCTGGGTCACCATGCCTGCCCTCAGGGCAGAGTGGGGATGACCCCCCGCAGCTGGCAGGAGCCCCAGCAGGTGATGCGGTCTGTCCCACAGTGGGGTGTGCAGGACTCTAGGAGGAGCCAGAGATCCTTCTGAAAGAATCACAATCATGGATATTGTTCTGAGACAAAAGACCACCTCGTTCCCACCGCCAGGTAACATCCATCACGCACTGAGTAGTTATTACGCGTCGGGGATGCTTTGAAGACCTTTATAATAATTAACTCAATCCTTACCACAGCCTAGAGAGTGGATATTATTATAAATAGCATTTAATGAACGAGGACACTGAGGCGCAGAAAGGCCATGT